TAGAGTTATTTTGTTTCCAGGCTCCAATCATGGCAACTTTTTGTTATGCATCATTGTTTGACATAAGCAGTGTCGCCAAGAGAGGAGGGGTGGGGGCTAGAAGTACAACCTTAAAAAAAAGGTACTTAAAAAAAAAAAAGACCCTCTATCTATTAAATAGCGAAAATTTTGATAAATAAAGGCGCCAATCAGAGTTACTGTCCCAGGAGGCGTAACGGCTCTCAGCGGCCCTGGACATAAGTATAAAAATAAAAATGTTTGGAGTTTGATTGTTGATCCAAATGTTTTACCTTCAACAAAACTTCGGTAACAATTGATTTGCTGAACAATAACGAAAAGTAATTTTACATTAATTTTGTAGTAAATAAAGCTTAACATATTTCTGTAATATAATGTAAAAATTACTACGTAAGTATTCTACGTAAGAAGTAATACATTACTACTTAATGTATTACTATGTAATACATTAAGTAGTAATGTATTACTATGTTTAATGTATTACTATGTAATACATTAAACATAGCGTAATTTAATTAGAACGTTGTAAATAAATTAATTAGAAAGTAATTCATTAAACAAATTCTGTGGTAATTTCCCAAAACAATGTTGTCGCCAATACAAATATTTTGAAAGTAGATTTGATGTCATTCTTATCCAAAATATATTTATTTATATGATTTACCATGGTGCTGTTTACTCGAATTCGAGTCATTGCAGAAAAGAGAATAAACCTCTTGCTGTTGCTATACGGACAGGTATTTATTTAGTCTGCTGTGAAAAAATGGAGCTAAAAATGTTTTCCGTCTACCCAAAGTTATAGTTTGGGCACTATCGCTCCTTTCACCAGGATCCTGCCTCCAAGAAAATTGCATAACGATAAGCAAATGAACAGCCATGGCTACAAAGAGATCCAAGGTTATGTCTGCTCTAGCCATAATTGCGGAAAGTTGGCGGCGTGAACTTGTTTTTTTTGTTGTTTTTTTAATATTCTGCGGTGCTCTGTGATTAATTAGATCACCTCAATAACCACAAAAAAAGTAGTCGTAATAAAAAACTTTAAGTTATGCGTAATTACGTTATATAACATACAAAATTTGACTCAATAACCAATGAAAATTATTATAAAAAGTTTAAAAAACAATTTTAAAGTTAATTAAATAATTTTTTTTTATCCAATCAAGGAAGAAAAAAACAATTTTAAAGTTAAATAATTTTTTTTTATCCAATCAAGGAAGCTTCCTCTTTCTGTGTATTAGAATTATTCTCAAGAGTATGCAAAAATTTAATTTCTTAACAACTCTCTGAGTATAGTTAAGCTAAGGATATAATATTAATTCAACAGTTTAGGTTCTGCGAACTTCCAACCTTTGATAACTGCAACCAACTCCTCGTAACTTATTTAATGAGGAAAATATTGTCGGGGCCTTATTAATAGACGTGGTGAAAGCACTTGATAGTGACCCACATCGAAACTTTTTTAAATGAACTTGCCAAAATACGATTAAGCTAACAAATTGATAAATTATTTTAAAGTTATTTGGTAAGTAGGTTTCTGAAAGTTAAAAATGAAAATAAGTTTACCCAATGGAAGTCAGCAAAAAGGGTATATCAGGGTGGTTCCCTAAGTCTAGAACTCTTCAAAACCTACACAATAAAGTTTTTGTCAGAGGTATTAACTACAGTAAATAATAGTTTTCAAATTATCTAGAAAATAACTTCCTGTAAACTTCAATATTATAATTGAAGATAGAGAAATCCAAGAACAAACCTTTGCTAAAATATTCAGGGTAACTTTAGATCAACATTTTCAATTCAAAAATTAATGCAACCATTTAAAAAATAGCATTCTATTGTGGGAGTTTTAGCATAATTTTCTGTCAGTCTTTTGAAGGAACTAATAAAATTAAGTTCAAAGATTTATAACTAACCAGTGCATTATACCTCAGGCTATCCAAAACACAAATAAAAAGACAAGATTTCATAAAAAAAGCAATGTGAACAAATTGTTTTTCACAAATTATAAATTGATTGAAACCATCTTTAAATGAACTAAAATTTGTCACCTTTGAAAAAAAAGTAATACCTATGCTACAAAATGCTATGGTATGCTACAAAAATTGGTATGCTACAAAAATTAGTCGAATTTGCTCTATTTGGAATAAGCTATCCAGCATTGGCCAGCATGTTTGAATTAAACAAAGATGCAACACTTAAAGTTAAAATAGTAAAGAATAGTCAATCTATTTTGTTATGTCATGTACATTTACTACTCAAGCGGTGGAAAATAAACTGAAAAATAAAAAACTCTAATGAAAATACTATTTTTTTAAACTTGTAAAGTCAAAATTTAGATAAAAAAAAATGATCAAAGCAAGGGTTTTAATGCATTCATTAACATTTATCCTGATATAATTAAAAGGTTAAAGAAAAATAGCTGAAGATAGGGAAATTAGCAGCTATCATTGCTATACTTTTTTTTTGCTATTCATAGTAATATTTTGAAACTTTTACAAAATAGTATAAAAGATTTATAAATTTAAGTTATATATAAAAATTAAAATACAAGCAAAGTATCAAAGTAGAATAGTATCATAATGAACACTTAAACATTAGCAAAAGCATTTAAAAACTGTTTCAAGTAATTATTATTCAAAATATTTTTTATTAAAATTTTTTTTTTATCATTTTGAGTTCAATAATATTTTCAAATGATATAAGTGAATGAGAAATTTTCAAAAAACTTCCATGTATTCTTGGTGTTTTCTAACAATCAGCTCTTTTTTATTTATTTTTATCTATACAAGTGTTCAAAAGTAAATTAATATAATTTAGTTGAAAAATTTACAAACACAATTTTTTACTGATACTTTGATAGTTATTCATCAATAAGCTGGATAATTATCTAAGTATAAGTGACAAAAATAAAAAGTTACTCTGTGATGAAAGTAACAATTAATAGTTTTATGAGCAAGTTCAATAATGAAATTAATAAATGTAACAATGTCTATAAATCTCTTTGTTTGAAATTATTTGTTTAATTGTACTTAGATCTTTGTGTTATTTGATTGTTTTATGCTAATGAGACATTTATGTACCCTATGGGCATTTGTTTTGATTTTATGAGGGTTTGTTTTGATTTGAATTTATGTTCTAAATGTATTTTAAAAGTTTTTTTAAACGTCTTTCAACATTCTTTACGCTAAAATGTCTGGAAGTTGTTTAAAAAATGTTTAAATGATATTTAGAGTGTAACTTTGAAAAACAAATGCCTGTTGGGTATGAACTGAGATCAAACTAAAAAATAGACTTTGATAGAGTTATAGCGTTATTAAAGGTGTTTAATTTTGTTTATAGCACTCTTAATTCGTTAGGTGTATATTTTTTTAAATTTAGATATTGTTTATATAGCTTGATTCTATGACTATATCTCTAAACAGGGTCAACAACACCATGTTGGACTTTTTAAGAAATTGACCATTATGCCCATCTACTTAGAAATCCATGTTGTTGGCCCTGCTTAATGATATTTTGATTTTTATTCAACAATTTGTTTAATTGGATCCTAAAAACTACACATTTTTGTTATTACATTTGCAAACTGGTTATAGACCATTGCGTAATACTAACTTCTAAACACACCTATTTGACAAACAGTAGAGTTGCCAGATATCTGGTTTTTATATAAGAGCGCAAAGTACCAAATCTATTTAAATCAAGATTTCCACAATGCTTTTCTATGTAAAAACCAGACATCTGGTAACCCTAAGTTCCCATAAGAGGTTATATTATCAAAATTCACAATGTTTTTTGGTCATTACTGTATATCACTTTTAAATATCATCATTCCAAGCTTCTTTGAATATAAGGATTGTAGCTGTTAATTTGGAACTTTTAATTATGGCTGAATAATGTTCATTTAATCATACTGACATTAAATTTTGTACAATGATTTTTTTAGAAAAATTTTCCATTATTATGCAATTTATATTCATCTTTACATTTTTTTTTATCATCATAAAACTGTTATATATGTTATGTTTGTTTTTGTATAACTACATGTCTAAGTTATGTTTGTTTTTTCTTATTTTTCTTTTAATATAGTTCGGTTATATTTGTATCTAAATTTTGAAACCTCTCATGTTTAGTTGTTCGCAAAATTTATCTTTGCACTTGTTCGCTTAGCAGTTATTCGCTAAATTTATGTTTGCACTCCAATTAAATTTGACAAATCAGTTTTAGTTTGATTCTAACAGTTTTCTTTTAAAAATCAATATCCATACATTAGTTTCATACAAGAATTTTAGTTAATGCTACAGCAATTTTTGAAAAATATATTGTTTTAGTTATATGCAGTGCAAACTCAATTTAAACCAATGAAAAAATGCAATGATAATGATAGGATAAGTCTTTGCCAATTATACTCAGTTGATTCTGTTTATAAACTGTATTACATGTTTTTTATTAAATTTTTCATATTTTTAGTAGTAAAGTAAAGTGGAATGAAATTTGTCTATAACTTATTATTATCTACGCTATATGACTTAATAATTTTTTAATATATAAGTTCACATTTAAATATGACTAGATGTTTTATGATGTTGTTAACATATTGTACAATCAATTTAACATTTGTTTTTTGTTATGACAATTGAAGTGGCTTTTACTTAATTAGTAAATAGTTATATAAAATAATTTTTGATAATTTATCTAAGGAGATTTATGAATCAGTTTTTTCAAGTTAACTTTTTAAAGTAAGAATTTTAACAGTTTTACAAATGTTAAAAATTTCTTTGTTTGCTTAAATGTTTGGCTTTAAACCGCACTGCAGTTTTGCAAACGTTGAAAATTTTTATTTAGTTTTGCTATAAATGTTTGGTTTTCATTATTTTGACAATTATTAAGTAATTAAAAGAAAAATGTTACATAAAATTTTTTACTGAAAAGTAAAAAAAAATATTGTATTTTATTTAATTGTTATTTTTTGTCTTATATTTAGTTATTTATATTTATTAGTTGTTTATAAGTACAATTAAAAAATGGAAAATTTAAGTTGGTCAAGCATAGAAGAAGGAGTTGACAAAAGTCGGTTGGAACAATACAATTTGGCATCGACTGTCCCATCAAATTTTACATTTTACAAAACTTTATTAGTCTTTCTTGGTGTTCCAAAGGTATCATACAAAAATGATAATACATTGATATATTTTGATTTTGAAAATGGTTCATGGGATACAACCAATGTTGAAACTTTAAGTGGGGTTGAAACTAAAATGTATCTTTTCAATGAACTTTTGAAACTTTTTATTATTATTGTTTATGTAAATAAAGGAGTACTGTTCTATTAGGATTTTTTTATATTAGGTGTGGTTTCTTTTATTTATAAAACTCAGTATAGTTAACAATATGAATTACTTGACTTATTGAATAATAACATAAATAATATATAAATTAACTTGTTAGACTGATTATTTTTTTGATTTTTATATTGGAGGTTTTATTTAAAAAATTTTAAAATAGAGATATAAGCTGGCACCTAATTTCATTGTAGTAAGTTGTATTTTTTTTTTTTTTTTTTTGCTATAGTAAAAACTTTTAGTATGTATATATACAATCTAAAACTTCATCTCAGTTGAACAAAATCTAGAGGTCTCCAAAGATATTGAATTTTAGCTATTTACTTTTTTTCATATTTTAAGAATTTTTCTTCCATTATATTATATTATTTAGTACCACTGGAAAGCTGTATAAGTACAGAATATGTAAATATATAAATATTGTGGCTTCGATTAATCAGTAAACAATACTTCTAAGAAAAATGGTAGCATTAGAAAATTTTACTTATTTAAAAGATAAAGTATTGTCATTTACATTTTGAAGTTTTTACAGTTTTGTAAAAGTTATATGTTGGATAAATTTAATTTAATCTGCTATCAAATGACTTGAAGCCATCTTTAATTTTTTTTCTTTCAAAGCAGATTATTCATTCCAAGTGAAATTTTAGCATTAATCTAAAGACACAACAAAGCAACTTTAATATTCCTAAAATTTGAAAAGATTTTTGCTGGAAAAATTCAAAAAATTTATAGAACTTGATAGTCTCAAGAAATATTTCGTTTATGCAATTTCGTTCAAAAATATTGGCTTGTAAATTATTGATTTTCGAAACAAAAATGGAGACCAAATCCCTGGGAAAAATTTTAATTATATCATTAGTTTATTTTAAGTCTAATGAAAAAATTTGATTTATGCATGCATTATTAATACTTGATGAATGAATGTTTTTGAAATTAGGGTTTTTTCAAAAAGTTTTTAAATTGTGTTGTACAGCCATCTGAAAACTACTTTACGCATGATATGTAAAAAAGGTTTTCTCTGATATTTCTTGTGATATCATCTTGAATCTTGTAAGCAAACCCTGTATTGGGATAAATACCTTGTAAAAAAGTAACAAAACATTTTTGTTTAAGAAATATTTACTCTATAAAATAAATTACAATCATTATTCCATACCAAGGGGGCCAAGGTCCAACACGGACTACCTTAAATTTTGATCCAACTTAATGGTTTGGTTTATATCAATGAGAAAAAAATCATAAAAATTTCAGCATAAAAACTTTTGTGGTCATGAGATATGGTTGTTTAAAATTTCTGATTTTTCCAAAAAGAAAAACAACAACAATAGCGAATACATCTTTTGTTTATACTTTGAAGTTCTTTATTTTAAAAGTAAAATTTAGAAAATCTACAACTTTAGATATTCTTTAAAACATTAACATTTAATTTTTTAATCTACAGTGACTACCTAAAGAACCTAAAAAATAGTTTGCAAACATAAAAAGTTGCATTTTAATAGGTTAATTTACAAAATTAACAATTTAAATGTATTTATTGTACATTTAAATTGTTAATTTTGTTAATGTACTTTAGTTTGTACCATCTATTGTAAGTATTTTGTAATCCGTACAAAAATTGGGTTACTTAGTAACTATTTAAAAACTCTAAGTTTTTAAATAACTTTAGTCCCTCCTAACCAATTTACATTTTAACATGCATATTTTTGACTAGACAATGTCTAAGAAGAAATTGTTTGTCCCATGATTAATTTTATCAATTGGTTTAATAAAAATTATTTAAGGCCACCATATCCATATATTAGTAAAACCTTTACTTATACCGCTTAAATGTTTTGAGGATAGAAAAAGGTTAAGAACTTGTGCACTTACAATTTAAAGTAATCATATTCAAACTATTTGTAATCATCATGAAAAAATCTACTTAGATAGGTTTGAGAATTTGTTTGATGGAAGTTTTTTTTATGATCCATTTAATAAACACAAAGTTAAATTTAAAATTATTTAAAGTTAAGTTAAAAAAAAAAAGATAAAGGCTTATTTAATGTTTTACTATTTTGTTACTTTTTCGAATAAATAAAACTTGAATTACTGACTTTGGATCCTAAGAGTTATACTCAAAGCATTAGTTATACTCAAAACTTTTTTCTTCAAAGCATTAGTTATACTCAAAACTTTTTTCTTCAAAGCATTAGTTATACTCAAAACTTTTTTCTTCAAAGCATTAGTTATACTCAAAACTTTTTTCTTCAAAGCATTAGTTATACTCAAAACTTTTTTCTTCAAAGCATTAGTTATACTCAAAACTTTTTTCTTCAAAGCATTAGTTATACTCAAAACTTTTTTCTTCAAAGCATTAGTTATACTCAAAACTTTTTTCTTCAAAGCATTAGTTATACTCAAAACTTTTTTTCTTCAAAGCATTAGTTATACTCAAAACTTTTTTCTTCAAAGCATTAGTTATACTCAAAACTTTTTTTCTTCAAAGCATTAGTTATACTCAAAACTTTTTTTCTTCAAAGCATTAGTTATACTCAAAACTTTTTTTCTTCAAAGCATTAGTTATACTCAAAACTTTTTTCTTCAAAGCATTAGTTATACTCAAAACATTTTTCTTCCCTAAGTAGTTTCCTCAAAACAATTTTTCTATTTTTCTTCCCTAAGAATGATAAAAACTGCATGTTATTTTAAACAAATGGACAATAGTAGAGCCGTCTACAAAAAAAAAATCTATTAGTCAGAAAGTAAAAAATCAAGTTCATGAATTCTACCTATCAGATGAATACTCTTCAATGTATCCAGGGAAGAAACAGTCTTAATCCAAGTTGATGGTAAAAACAACATTTTTTAAAAAAGATATTAGTTAATATAAAAAAAATTTGTTTAGAGTTCATTAAAGTTTCCTTTAATGTCAAGTTATTTCAGACTAAAATGATCTCTTGACATTAGTTTCATATATATTGGCGACTTGATGTTTGTATTTGCAAAAATTGAATTTATTTAGTTAGGTATTAAATATGATTCATTATTAGATTTAACATCTGCAAAAAATCAAGGAAGTCTTATATATAGGATATTTGGTCCTATATTCATAAGGAACATAGTAACATATTAGCACATTGTCCAAATATTAAACAGTTTTTTATATTCGGCCAATCTGGCCACATCTCACAGAAAGTTTGAAACAACTATACCAAAACCAAATTCTCACATCAGAAGCCATATATTTTGTTGTGATAAAATGAAGATAAGATAAGATTTGTTAGAAAAAAATACGTTTTAATGGATTCTAGGTCTAATTAGATGGGCACTAACAGTGTGCCTTACATAAGGAAACAATAATAAACATAAGTGCATAATAAAAAAATATAATTTATAATATAAACAGAAAGATCTTATCTATCTAATGTTTATTGAAATTGAAGGATTTGATTTCATTTTTAAACAAACAAATTTTTTTTAGGTGTTTATACCTTCTTATATCAAATAATTCCAGATATAAACAACTTGTAAAGAAAAACAATATTTGAAAATATCAAGTTGACATGTATCTTATAAGAATGACCAATTTTTTTATTCTTAAAAAAATGATCTTTTATCTGTACAAATGATGTATAATTTTAAAACATATTGCTAAATTATGTTTTATACATCTGAATCCAAACCAAACACCTGTAAATGGCTACAATAATTTATACTAACTTAGCTTTAGTTAGCTTTTCTGTGAATCTTTTTTGGAGTTAGCAGACTTTTTATTAATTTAGTGTGTGGATCAAACTGGAAGTTATCATTCAACTGAGATACTGGCATTGATGAATTGCAAATATTTCTTTTACAATGATAACAAGTTAATTATTAAAATAACAAGTAATCGTTAATAATCAACTGATTTTTTCAAATTCACTTGATTTACCATTGATATCATCAATTATAGAAGCTAAACTTAAGGAATGATCACAAGCTCAGCATAATTTGGGTATTGAGTAGTTCAAGCAAAGTAAAATAAGTTTAAAAAAAAACTGGAATGGTATTAACATTTAGAAAAATCAGCCAAGGCATATCAGCCTTATAATAAAAAGGCATATCATAATTTTAATAAAAAATAATTATGCTGCTATGATTCTCAAAAAAAGTTTTGCGGAAAAACAAAAAGTACTTGTTTGAAAAACAAAACTCTTTTTAATTTTAATCTTTATTTTAATTAAAAACTTTCTTTAAGAAGTTTAATCTTGTAAAGTCAAATGGAAAGGGATCTAGGCTGTTTTCGGTTTAGAATAGTTCCTGTCTGTCAACTGTATATGGTTGCCGCCCAAATTAAAAATTGAGGACCTTTTGAGGTTTATGTTAACATTTTCAATAAAATTTTTCTGACCTCAACTAAAAAGTTGCCTTTGGAAAACATTTTATCTTTCAACAAGAAAACAACCCTACTTTAAAAAAAAGCAAGAGTTTTTTTTATTTAAAAGTTATTTGAATTGAAAAAGAGTTATTTGAATGGCAAGCTCAATGTCCGAATCTTAACAGTTAACAAGTAAAAGTCAACAAGTCGAAAGTCAAAATTAGTCAACTTTGAAAAATCAAATAGTTGATTTATTTGGCTGACCAAAAGTTTTGGTCTTGTTTAACCAAAAGTTGATTTTGTTGAGTAAAAATCTTAAAATCTTTTCATTCAATTTAACTTTTCAATTATTAATTTTTGTTTTTTCATTTAATAACAATAGCATGTAGTTCATCTCATTCAAAGTATGTTAGCACTGTTTATACCTGTTAAATTTTCGGTTATGTATTTTATTTTATTTTTTCTTTTGTTTACTCGATGCTTGTAATCTTCATAAATACTCATACAGGGTCATTCCAAGCTGGCTCAGAGCCCTGGGGCAAAACTATGTTAGATAGCTCCAAAATATAAATGTCATCTATACATTCACATTGTAAAAATGACTGTATAGAATTTTTAATACAAAGCAAGTATTTTTGATTATTTTTTCTTCTTGGGTTGATATCTTTCCTCTCTCTGCTAAAAATTGTCCTTTCTATATTCTTTATTCTCCTTGATTATGGCAGACACAAAACACTGTTATTGTTTTTTGTAGATTTCAATCCTCACTCTTTTCATCTTGTGTATTCTATTTTTTTAAATCTTTTTATCTTTTGTAGCTGCTATTTTTACTTGAAATCATTTTTTTTCATCCTACAAAATCTCTGGAATTCAAATATGTTTTTATAATTGCAAGAAATTAATGCAAAAAGTTATTGTCTGATGTTAAGTTCATCATTCTGCTAAGGTCCATTCTTAGATTTGTAAATCTCAAAAAGTTAGGTTCTAGAGATTTTTAAAAAATCTTTAACAATGTCATAAGAGACAACTCTTATACTAAATTTATCCAATATGGATATGAACCTCTCCCAAGGATAAAACAGAATTATTAGCAAACTATTTTACTCCTGCCTTATCTCTAAAATTTCATGACCACACTTTTGCTTTCATAAAAAAGCAAACAGGTTAGTCAATTGTTAATCATCCAAAAAACTCCCTTTATTGCTAAAGTTATTTCCTACTTAAACACTTTTACAGCTTTTAGTCCACATAACATTTACTGTCACAGTTTTCCAGAATTTTCTTCATTACATTCTATTAATTGTAAAACAAGTACTTAACTGAAACTTGTTTTGCTGGAAAGTGTTATCTATTTTAATAAAGATTATTTTTTTATGCTCTCGCAGTAGCAATTCTAGTTGACTAGTGTACATAGTTAGTTCCAATTTTAAAAAACTCTGAAAATTGCTCAGAAGCCATTTACTATCAGTCTTCTTAATACCAAAGATTTTGATTCTTCAATTAATAAATTTCTTTTACCCCATCATAAATCTTAAAACTAAAAATTCTCTGACAATTAATTTTTCATTCTTCTGTTGATTTGTTAACCTTTATAAGAAGCTTGTCTCTAAAGTGACTCTTTGTTGAGAACATAATTATGTACTCTAGTCAAGAAGTCATTACTTTTTGCTTAATATAGAAAACTAATTTCAAACATTATTTCTTTTCTTTCAGTTTAAGGCTTGCAATGAAGTTGTATCTCTCTCTTTTCTACATGTGATGGTTGTCTCTCAAGTGAGTTATCAATAGTTTTTCCATCAACTAAAACTTAATCTCATATGATTTATTATTCAGTTAAGTTTTATTCTTTTACTGTAATAGTTCCTTCATGCTTCATTAGTTTCCTTCACTCTTTTTTGTTTTCTGCTAACCTCCAACCTAATTAATTGTTTCTTGCAGCCTTGTTGGGAATGAATTAAAAAAAAAAGCAATCAACAGAAAAAAGTAACAGGGCCCTTTTTTAAAAAAAATAAAATACATCTGCTTACTTTTAATATATCAGCCCTCAGTCCAAACCTAACTTCCAAATGATGCATTAACAAATTTCAATTTTATGTTTTTTGTTATGCTAGTTGTTAGTTTGAATGTTTATTTGAAGAAAAATGTTCTTTCTAAAATACTAACTTTGGTTTGCTTTTATAAAATACTTAGGCATCCCCAGTTAGATGTTATATATCTAGCAAAAAAGTTTAATTACCTGTTTTTAATTTGTTTTCTGATTAATGTGGGTAAATCCAGATTATGTTTGAAAAAGTTTAAGTGCCTAAAAGTTTTTGTTTGTTTGTTTGCATGCTTTTAAAGATAAGTACAAAATAGATGTTATCCAAAGTTTGACGCTTTTCTGATTTTTACAGTTTGCTTTTTCTCTAGAAGAGAAAAACTTTGTGATACAGTTTATAAATGCTCTAATTCTTTCTATGCGATTTAAATTTTTAAATAAGTATTTTCTTAGTATTGGTTTAAAATGACTTATTGATATATTACTTCATCTTAGTCATATCCCTAAATTGATTGGCAAGATAATCAGTTGCATCTTTTTTAGTGAACAGTATAAAGTTTAACTTAGATGTAAATAAAGGAATTCAAAATTAAAATGCATGATTTCTTTCAACGTAATAAAAAGTATTTTTATTACGTTGAAAAGAAATCATGCATTTTATCAAATGTATGTTTTATTATATATTTAATATTGCATTTACTTCCTGAGTAGACTCCTTAATTATATTGTTTAGAGGGCCATTGTAATTAAGGAACCTACTCTGTTCTTTTTTATTTCTTATTTTCCATTGTTACTCTCAAACCATTTAGCTCTAAATTACAAACTCTGATAAACAAGGCTGCTGCCTGAAGAAACAAGTTGTATCATTAGGGGAATAACAGATTTTTAACTCTTCTTCTTCTTCTTTTTCTTTTTCTTCTTCTTCTTCTTCTTCTTCTTCTTCTTCTTCTTCTTCTTCTTCTTCTTCTTCTTCTTCTTCTTCTTATTGTTATTATTATTATTATTATTATTATATTAATTATTTTTATTTTGAGTTTAAATTAAATTTAAGTTACAACTAATATTGGGTGTTTTTTTTATTTATTTAGTATTTTATTTTAAATCCGAATTGTAATTAAAACAATTTAATTACCTAGTTAAAAGTTTGATGTTTATGTGTAACCTTGACTTAAATTAGATATGCAGTTTATCAATGGAATTTACTGTTAGATCCAGAGATAAGTATGAATTCATATTCAAAAGAAGAATCGTTACTGCGAGAGCATAAAAAAATAGTCTTTAATGGCATAACTTCATATGAGTTTAATGATGAAAATGGTTGTTTGATCTTTGGTAATGGTAATGATATTTATTCTGTCAATATTGAACCTATTGCCTCTGGTAAAGAAGAGGTACTTTTTTTGTTTGTACTAGTATATATATATATATATATATATATATATATATATATATATATATATATATATATATATATATATATATATATATATATATATATATATATATATATATATATATATATATATATATATATATATGTATATATATATATATATATATATATATATATATATATATATATATATATATATATATATATATATATACAAATAGTATTGCGTACTAAGGTAAGCAATCTGGCGTCATACTGAAATAGCCTGCTGCTGGGGGCTTTAGTACATACATCGACTGACAAATAGCCTGACTCGCAGTGGAGTGCTGCTACATCGACTGAGGGTTTGAGATGGGGCAGCAATTGTTTCATTTATCATTCTTTGTTTTTTTTCTTCTTTTTCTAAAAAAGCCGTATGGGTTAAAGTAAGCAAAAAAAGTGAGCAAATGCTTATAAAAATACGCTTTAGTAAGTGTATATATATATATATATATATATATATATATATATATATATATATATTAGTTTATATTTAGATAGGGATTCTAATAATATAATCTGCTTACTGTTATTTTTAAAATGCTGACTTTAATGAAATATTATACATATAGTAAAAAAGAACACAATACAATAAAATAAAAAAACTTTTAAAAAATAAAAAATAATTATAGAAAGATAGAATACAGATAGAAAGGTGCATGAAACCATCTGTGAGAGCTTTAGTACATACATAGACTTTGTATTGAAATTAGGCTGGCATTATTTTTTTATTAAGGTTATTTATTACTACAAAATAGATTTTAATTTTATTTTTTCTTGCTTGTCTGAAAATATGTCTGAATTAAAGTTGATATTTCAAAAAGTCAAAAAAATGTTTATATTTATATTATTATTATTTTTATTATTAAAAAATATAATATTTATTATTATTATGCTATTGTAGTATGCTACACCTTATGTTATTCCATCAAATATTTTTGGAAGCAAAATGGATACAAAGGTGTGCCCCTGCAATCCAAGTATTATATCATTTATTCACGAGGGAGACATTTGGGTTACAAATACACTAACAGGATCAGAGATGAGGTTAACGTTTGTTAGGGATTCATCACAAGAAAAAGTTTTATCAGCAGGAGTTCCTGCATATGTAACACAAGAGGTTTTTGATCGATTTACTGGATATTGGTGGGAACCATTTTATCATCAAGATCCAGGTGTTACTTTAATTTTTTGATTATTTTTTACTAAATACTTTCAAATATTACACATTATAATTAAGGTTTTTCCCCCTTAGATTTTCCAGTTTTAACTTATTTTTTGCAACTGAGTTCAAAAATTACATTCTTTTTGACATAAAATTAATAGGTTTTTATTTATGCTTACTTTCATATTTTCTTAGTATAAATGAAAATTCTTATAAAGTCACTATGTTGTATTAATCTATTCTAATATGCTAAGAATAATTACATAGCCTATATAATGACACCTTATTATAAATAAATATATTTATAAATAAAATAAGTTATAAATAATTATAAATAAATATATAGTTTTTTATTAAAAATTAATGAATCATAATTTTTTAATTAAATTAAAAATTTATTATCTTGTGTGTGTGCGTGTTAAAAAATTTCATCACAACTTTTTAATTTAGATAAAAATGATAGTTACTTGAAGAAAATGTGCATTTATATCAAGATAATATAAAATAAAGCATAAATAAAAAACTATTAATATTATGTCAAATCGAATGTGCTATTAACATATAGCATTGATAAGGTATTTTTCTGTCTACAATATATATTATTATCTGTCTTATAGCCCACTACTTAACTTCCTTATCCAAGTCTAGGCTGCAAGAGAACCACATTAACAACCTCCAATGATTTGTTTTGTGAGGCACTGATGAGTGCTCAGTTACTGGGCGCTAAAAGCATTATAACTTTAAAACAATCAATAATACAAAAAAAAGTTACAATAATACAAAAAAAAGTTACAGCAATTTACAAAACGTACAAAATTTAAAAACTATTTATTATAAATTAAGTTTTAATATTTATAAGTTCAATACTAAGTAAAGTTCAAAATAAAAAGTTCAAAAATAATTCTTTTTTTCTTAAACATTTTTATGTTTAATAAGGTATTTAAATTATTTTTAGGTGGATATCAGATATACAGAATACTATATGAAGTGGTAAGTTATAAAGAATTTTTGAAAAAAAAAAATTTATTTATAAAAAAATTTATTCTTTTTAATAAAAAAAAAAAAGATTTTAAATAAATGTTTTGTTTTAATATATGTATAAAACAAAAGCTTTTCTTTATATATGTATATATATATATATATATATATATATATATATATATATATATATATATATATATATATATATATATATATATATATATATATATATATATATACATATATGTATATATATGAAAAAGTTAGCAAGAAATAGAGTACAATCTAAAAAAATAACTAACTTGTTTGGTTTAACACCCACAAATACTATTTCTTTAAAATTTTGCCCTTTTTGACTAAAAATTTAAATAACTTATTGCAAATTAACTTCAAGTAGCCTTACTGCTGTCAACAAAAAAAATTGAGAAACTCCCCTACATCAGATACTTTTGAAATATTGATCAATTAAGGATATTATGGTAAGTCTTTAAGTTATTGTTTATCTTTTTTTGTTTGGTATTTTATATCAACTGAATTACATGATCACATTGACTAAAATCATTTTTTACTTATCTACTATCTTTTCTTTACTAACTTTTTTAAAAGACCACCTCTGAAATATAAGTTAAATACAAAAAATGTTTCATGAATATAACAAACTGGTACTATAGATTTATTTAATGAGGAAATTAGATTTCTATACTTTATTGCCTGCATTTATTTAAAAGGTAAGTTAAGTTTGTATATTAAAACATTTAATAACAAGAAAGTTTTTCTTTATTACAACAAACAATACTAGAAATTTAAAAATCAAAAAAACTGTATTTACTGCTCGCTTGAATATAAAACATAAAAACAAGTTTAAATGTTTGAATGAACCATAGTCATAACATTTTATGAACATAAATGAAAATATAATTATTGGTATTTTTCGTTGCCACAATAGCATGTAAGCACATGCGACCAATATATTTTTAATTAAACGACATTTGTTGCTGTTTTTGTTGAGTAGAATTTAAATAATAATTAGAAGCAGAAGATCATTGGCTCTCTTTAGTGGAGATTTTTATTGAACATAATTCGCTATATTAGTTTAAATATCGCCATTTAATGCCCACCATTAAAAAAGAAAAATATATTCAAAAGAATACTCTTAAAATGAAAGCAGCAATAATATTTTAAGATTAAAAATAAAACAAGTATATTATTCTTAATAATTCTTGGAAACCTTATATCAAATCCATTGCAAAATTAGCATCTGCTAAAGTTGCATCTCTTTATCAAGCTCGACACTTTCTTACTCTAGATTCTATTCTTTATCTCTATAAATCTCAAATCCGACTTTTTATGGAATACTGTTGCCATATTTGGGGCGGATCTTGTAATGATGCCCTTTCTCTTTTAGACAAGGTGCATAAACGCATTGTAAACATAGTTTGACCTGCTCTTGCAGCCAACCTTCAACCTCTGTAATATCATAATGTTGCTTCTCTTTCTCTTTTCTACAAATACTATAATAGGCACTGCTCTAAAGAGCTAGCATCTCTTGTGCCATCTACTAAAATTCATTCTCGTGTTACTCGTCATTCAATTAAGTCTCATCCTTTTTCTGTTACTGTTCCTAAGTGCTCTAAAAACTCTTATTCGTCTAGTTTTTTTCCTCGAACATCAGTTCTTTGGAATTCGTTTTCTTTATCTTGCTTTCCTGATTCATATTATTTGCAATCTTTTAAGTCAGCTGTCAATCTTTATCTTGCTCTACAACCTTCATCTTTTCTCTTCAAGTAACTTCCAACACTAATTAGTGGTTGCTTGCAGCCTTGTTGGAAGCGAAGATGTTAAAAAAAATAAAATAAAAAAAATAATTAATTAATATACACTGATTATTTTATAATATAAAAATATACAATTTTTAATATATCTTCGGAAATTGGAGCTTAATTTACCTTATTGTATATATATATATATATATATATATATATATATATATATATATATATATATATATATATATATATATATATATATATATATATATATATATATATATATATATATATATATATATATATATATATATGTATATATATATATATATATATATATATATATGTATGTATTTATATATATATATATATATATATATATATATATATATATATATATATATATATATATATATATATATATATATATATATATATATATATATATATATATATTTATATTTATGTAGATATATTGTTAAATTGCACCATATATTTCAATTTTTTATTATTTTGGATGGAAAATAGTTTTAAACTTTTGTATTATAGTGTTATTTTTTTTTATTTTTTATCTTTAAACAAACCTTTCTTATTAGTCAATCATAGTGAAAAAGTTGTAAAATATAGTCTGAAGGAAGAAATAACTTGCTAATTCAATAACTTTGTTTGTGTTTTTTTTTCAAATTGGTTTCTCTTTCATAGTTTTGTTTACAACTTATTTACACAAACAAAAATTCTTGAGGATGTAATTATATACAAAAATTGTTCATGACTAGCCTTAACAAATTACATCAATTAACTATCAGAACAATACATGAACAACAAAATTTGAAAATACTTAATTTTGTTATTAAAGACTATTATTTATAGCATTTTGACATTTTTGATTTCACTGAGCCAGACTTAATAGTTTAGCTATATATCTGAATTTGGCTCTCTAAAATGTTGTGTCTGGTACATCTCTAATTATTAGTAACATGGATGCAGAGTTCCAAGCTTTATAACTTTATTTTTTTTATGGTCTCTGGTATCCAGAAGCTTTATACATGTTGGTTGATTAATGATCAGCTATTAGAAAAAAAGTTATGGTATTTAATGATTTTGAACTTATTGTTTTTAAGCCCAGAGTCCTGGAGTCCTTGCCGCTATTATACCTAAGGGCTCCAAGCTCAAAAATTGATTGTTCTTTTGACCTATAAGTCTTGATTTTTTCCCAATTAGTAGCCATTAAGCTTTTTTATATTTTTAAAGTTTCTGGATACCAAAAACTTGAAAGAAGTGATCTTTTTTGTGACTTTCAAATCCAGAGTCCTTTTTGGGACTCCTCATCCCTGATAAGTAATAAAAACAAAGAGTGATAAGACAAGTTCAGACTATTGTTTAAAGATTTGCACAGTTTTTTAAAGAATTTAATGTTTTTTAAAGATATTAAATTGTATTTTGTAAATATGTATGTATTATAGGTAGATGAGTGTGGAGATGAAGAGTTCAAACTGGGATCACAACCGCAAGTGCTGTTTACAAACTTTGTGGAGAACTACAGATACCCAAAGGCTGGATCAAATAGCTCAAAACCAACCTTAAAAATGGTTGAATTTTGTTTAGACTGTTCTTTAAATCAGGTAACAAATTTTTAAAAACTTTAAATGTAGTGTTTTACCATATTGTTTTTTTTTTTTTTGCTTTATTCATTATTTATCATGTAGTATTATAAGTTTATCCACCTTGATTTGTTTTTATTTTCATTTGTTTTACTTTGTTGTTTGGTTTGTTTTATTTTTTCTTTTCGTCTAATTTGTTTGTTGTTTTTTTAAATTTATTTTTACTAATCATATTTAGTGCATACACGTTTTTTTTTAATCATTAATGATGAATTAGGTCAGGTCAGGTGTATGGTCTTCATGATCACCCTGCTACTGGTAACATGTAACCCAGTGCAACCTGTTTCATATCTTGCTGCCTTGTGGGATTCGCATTAAATGAAGGTGAAGAGACTTGCACTATTACTCTTGACATATCTAAAGCTTTTGACAAAATTGGCATGCTGATCTTCTTTATAAGCTTGTTTGATATGGTGTATCTAGTAAAGTTATTTCTTTCCAAGTGCTTTATTAAAGTCATCCTTGAAGGTCAACACTCTTATTTATTTCCAGTAACTTCTGGAGTACCTCATGGTTCTATCCTTGGTTCTGTTTTGTTTCTTATCTACATTAATGATCTTCCTGAAAACCTTACATCTAAAGAAGCTCTTTTTGTTAATGACTCAATATTAGACTCCTGTCTTGACAAAAAAGCCTTTTTGATCACTTAGAACAGGCGGTCGATCTTGAGTTTGATCTCACTTCTGTAACAGAACAGTGACATGAAAATTTTCACTCCAACAAAATTTAGTTATTTACTGCAAAAAACAATCTGTACTGTCAATATTAAGGAATGGCAACCCTCTCACTGAGTCCTATTCTTTATATCATCTTTGATTATTTTTTACCACTGACTTTTCAAGGAAACCGTATATACAATTGGTTGCTAAATTAGCATCTGCTAAGATTGCCCTTTTATGTTCTTGCCATTTTCTCTCTTCTGATTCCATTCTCTACCTCTACAAATCTCTTATTCGTCCCTGTATAGAATACTGTTGTCATATTTGTCGCTGCTCAAAGGAGCTATCATCTCGTTAAATTAACTAAAACTCAATCTCACTTGACTCGTCATTCAGCAAAGTCTCATTCTTTTACTGTATCTATTCCTGCATGCTCTAAAAACTTTTATTGGTCTAGTTTTTTTCCCTGTATTTTAAGACTTTGGAACTCTCTCCCATCTTTATGTTTTCCTGACACATACAACCTTCAAATTTTTATGTCTTCTGTCAACCGTTTCCTTGCTCTATAACTCTATTCTTTTTTTCTAGTAACTCACAACTTAATAGTGGTTGCTTTCAACCTTGTTGGGAGTGAATTAGAATAAAAAAAATTAAAAAAAAGAATCAATAGCAACGACAAGTGGGTCTAATATTTTTGAAAAATTGTTTTTATAGAAGAATTATAAATATTTTAGGCATAGCCTTTATGTGTTTTTACTCAAACAAATCAAAGTGTATTAACATTTTTACCAACAAAAAGTATAACATTTTTGAGATCCAACCATAATCCCTTTTAAGCCTGTTTGGCATAGAACTCTTGGCAGCTATTGCAACTGAGGTAATGGCAAGAGAGAGTTGCTGCAGCTTTGTTTCATAAGAAAACATGAACAAAAGTGTATACAAATATTTAATGTACGTAAACTTCAAGTTATGTGGTTTGACTTCAACCACCAAACCGACCATTTTTTTTTTAATTTTTTTTAGATTTTTAAAATACAAAATACTTGCGAAGTTCCATAAAGATTATATGCAAACATATCTAACTATATTAGACACTTTAACAAACAAAAAGATTTTTAAAATAGCTAAAAATTCTAAAAACATTTAAAAATGGGTGGATATTTGTTGTGTATGTGTCATGATTGAGATACTTATGTTATTTTAATTTCACATTTTATTTTTTTTCATCTAAGTTGAGTTTTTGCAAGAAAAATGAGTATTCAACATGTTTATATATAGAATATAAAATATATAGAACTGAAAAGTTGTTTTGTTTTGCATTTTAAATAACAAAAATTAAAAAAATAAAGCAAGGTGATTATTTGAACTTGCCACACAGCGACCTCAACTTTTTCAAAACAGTAAGGGTGTTTAAAAAGTATGTTTTATATAAGAACATGATTAAAAATTCTAATTTCATACTTAAATTAAACCATTTTATTAAATTAAATACTTTTAAAAATAATTGAAAGTTTAAGTTATTTAATATTAAAACAATAAAGAAATTTAGAGTTACACCACCCCCCTGTTAAACATTCTAAACCGAGTGCGCAACAACAACAGAATTTAGATAACCATCAAAATAGTATTATACTCCATCTTTATTTTGGCTTTATATACTTTTTGGCTGATCCCTAATCTTAACTTTTAAATAAGGGATTGTCCATAAATTATGCAATGCTAAATTTCACTAATGAACAAAACAAAAAAGATCAAATTTTTCCCTCGCAGAGTTGTATGTTAAATATAAAATCAAAATAGCTCATAAAGTTTTATGAAAATCACCACCTAAAAGAACTGAAGATCTCCTTCTTTTTTAAAAATTAATTTAGCTTTGTGTAATTTATGTACGATCCCTTAGCGTTTCATAGTCTATAGTTTTTAATGGCCTAAGATCTTCTTAGTTCTGCTATTTGTATAGCGTTGTGTACAAACATCTGAAAAGAAAATTTTTTTGCTATACAATTTTTTTTTGCTATAAATATTACTATAATTATTATAGATATATACTATAATAAAAATTTTTCTATAAATATTGTTATAAGCACAGCAAGATTTTAAAATATTCAAAACTTATTAGGGGAGGTCTTTAATCCCCCAAAACAACACTGATGACAGCACACTAAACCACTAAGCTATCAATGATATACATTTAGGAGAAAAACAAACCTAATTATAAATCTCTTATAGGCTCTAGGTATGCTGACTGAAAGGGTGCGCATGGTAATTTTTTTGCTCTTAAAGCAATCTTTTTTAAATGAATTATTTTACGTAAAAATATTGAAGTAAACAAATCATAGGCATAAAAATGATCGGTGTGCAATTGATAAATATAGAAATGGTAGATTTGGTAAAGACCTGTATTTTATTTTTTCGAGAAATAAATATCTTTTTAAAGTAAATCATGCCTAAAATTAACTTAAATGGCATAATTTAGATATAGGTGTAAATACATTATGTGCAGTGTTATGCCTTTTTTTATATTTTATATTCCTTTTTCTCTAAATACCTTTATTTAAAATACCAGGTTTCTAGTTTTAATTTGAGGTTTTCATAAAAAAAGTTCAGATACTGTATGACTTTTTTAATTTTTAATTTGGGTTATATTTAAAAGTTTATTTATTCCTTTTTTTTCTGTATTTTTAAATTTAGATTTAATAATTTCTTTTTACAACTATTATATGACATTATATTCAGATTTTTAATCAGTTATTTTGCTGTTGTTATTTTTTAACCTGTTGTTTTACTTCTTTTAACCTAATTTTTAATAATTTTTAAAATTTTATCAATCATTTTTTGATGAGTAAGGCCCTTTATCAATCATTTTTTAATTAACAACCTTAACTTAGGATAAATAATCATAACCTAAGATAAACGATTATTTTTAGTTGGGTTTAAAAAATCAAAATTTAGAGTTTTGACAAAAAAATTTAGCAAAAATTTTAATTTTGTGTAGTTTTTAAATTTTTATTGTATAAGTAACTTTGATATGTTATTCTTTTTTTGGTCAAAAATATGAAGACTATATTTACTTTTAAATAAACTGTATATAATAATGTTTATTAAGCTTTGAGCTTTGTTTAACTTTTTTTTTTTTATCAAGTATGACTTTTTTTTAGTCGCTAAAGTTTAATGTTATTCTTAGATTTTCTATTTTGCTTGCCTTATTACTTTGAAACTTTGTTTTATTTTTAAATTTCAGTTCATAGCTGGTTCAATCATATATTATGAGTTGTGCGTAGATTTTTATGAAAAATTTTCATGGGTAGAATATATAGTGAGATGTGGGTGGATGCCTTATGGTGGATAGTAAGTCTATTTTTATTGTTATGTTACTTTGTTAATATGTGATGTTGTGACCATGTGACAATGTTACTCTGTGAAAACAAAAACATGTGACAATCTTAATTATATATTTATTACTTTTATATCTTTTATAGAATATAATACTTTTGTACTTTAGTTTGAAATTTGCCTGAGTAAAATGAAACAAAATGTTTTTTGGTTTCATTTTACTCAAATTTCAAATTTTTTTATCACTATAGTCCTTAAGCAAGATATAAGTTTTTCATTAGTTGTTTGTGTTACTTTACATTTGTGTATTAAGCAACATCAACAAAATTTTTCTTAATTTCTATACAATGTACCTTTTTTACCAATGTACATTGTGTAATATGAATCATTTTTTGTTGTTTAGAACAAATTAGTTACTAAAATGTTTAAGCTTTTGCTTCTTTCTGACTTTTCTGAAGTTCCATTGTAAATATAATCATTAAACCAATAGTTTGTCTAATCATATAAATCTTCAGACCTTATTAAAATTGTCTTTGTTATAGTCTTAAGCATAAACACAAGAAATCACAGAATGGCATTTGAGTTCCTTTTTGTATTACTGATGGATTGTGTTAATCGCAAACACTGTATCTGCAATGTATCAGCAATAATTATCTTTAATTCAAATATTTACTTAACTTTGATTTTCTGGCACATTTATTCAAAATTTTCAACTTCTAGTCAAGCTTAATTTGTATTATTTGATATGAATAATTCGATTTACTTTATTATAGCATTGTAACTTTGCAAATTTTCACTATCTATTTTTTATCTAAAATTGTTACAATTACATTAATTACTTTGTACTCAATCAGTTGTTCTTTGCCCTCAAACAAGTCACAGCATTGCAACACTTAGTTATAAAAATAAACAAGAAATTCTCAAAATGACCTAATAATCAGTAAAATAAAACTATTGAGAACAAAAAATAATTCAGAAAAGCAAAAGGTTAAATATAAATAGATAATATAAATATATGTAATAGCAAAAAAAAAAGAATTTGACTGGAACATCAAAATCAAAAACTAACATCTGTTTGCTCATCAGTTCTCTCTTCAACATTTTATGCATTTTAAGAGTTACAAACCTACTAGTGAAGATCAAATAAGTCCTTATAATATAATAATATAATAGCTAATATAATAGCAACTCAGCTTATATATTTTCAAAAGTTAATGGAACAATAATTAAAAAATTTAGAAAAAAGCAACAAAGCAAATCTGAATTGCAACCAGCATAAATAATCTTACCACAACAACAAATGTTTTTTTCAAGTTTTCAAGTCTTTAAAGCATATATGATTGCACTTGCCTGAATTCTCTCAATTGAATCAGGAATTCTGAGCACGCAATACAATATTGTTCTAGATGCACTTAGTTTTTCTGTTACCGCAATAGTCAAGTTTTCTATCAAAACATCTTTTTTCCTATTATTTGTTTTATTAGGTGCTCCAAGAAGACCTAATTATGTCTTATTATAAGCGCCGTAGATAAGCATATAACTATGAAGTTCACACCTCTATTATTTTTGTTAAAAATGTTAAGATGTTGCTTATCTGGCGTCAAACTTTTTTATTCTGAGTCAAAACTCTAATCAGTGGGCCACAGCTGTTGGTTCAAAGCTATTATCTATTGAAGATATCAACTTTGAATTCCAGTAAATTGAAGAAAATGCTTTCGATTTCCTTAATGTCATCTGAAACTTATTGCCAAGAATTCTTATAAAAGCTAACAGCAGGCCTTGGCATGAAGCAGGAGCGATCGCTCCCATTACGTGAAACTCGCTCGTTAATGGAATATTTATAAGTTGCGGGCGCAATATAATAAGCTCGCTAATTTAGTTAAGAGAGTAAAAAATTGCACTCGTCCTAAAAATTTGGAAGGGAGAAAACTAATAATGGTTTACTTGATTTTATATCAAATTTTTTTTATAAAAAGTTTTTGTTAAAGATTCTGGGTTAATTAAACAAAAAAGTTCGCTTATTGTTAAAAACAAAACAATCCCTATTCAAATTCTTGGAGTTGGAGGTCACGTGACAAATCGGATTTTAATAGCTACCATTATGGATTAGGGAAAACAAACTGTTGAAGCACTGTAAAAACAACAAGATTAATATTGTTTAGCTAATTTGCAAATTTAAACTCATTTAAATTAACTTACAAATGTTATTTTAAATAAGTTTTATGATTTTCTGTTTTATGTATAAGTTACATGGTACCCTGTGTACCCATTTTAACATAATTACAACTTTAATTTAGTAAAGCAAATAAAAAATTATTAAACGCAGTATATCATAATAATATATTATTATGATATACCGTAAAAACCCCTAATTCCAGATGGTTTAGGACTTAAATTGTCATAACTAGCTCAATATAAAGAATTTTGAAATAATTTTTAAAAATAAATAAACTTCATAACAAGACAAATCAAACAATATAAAAAATATTATTTTTGCAATATAAATCTATCTTTTATTTTATTTTTAAAAAATATTGTTTTTATCCGGAATTTGGTGTTAATGTCCCTAATTCCGGATGCGTATAAAATACAGAAAAACACATACACAAATAATACTAATAAAATAATTATTTTAATCCAAAAATGAAATCGTTTAATAAAAAAAGAATATATATTATTTTAAACACATTCGTTACAAATAAATTCCATGGTTGGACGATAATCAAAGACACATTCAATGCATGACCAATTTGAACACTGCTCACACGCAAGCCATTGGTTATCTAAGTTATTTGTCCAATTAATTTTACAGGAATAACATAGAAGATCATCAGATACTAAAATGTTATTTGAAGCTTGAGAAAAATGAGGGTCTTCTAATTGATTCTTTGTCTTTAAACCTTTTTTACCTGGTATTTTAGACAACTGACTTTGTGTCAACTTTTTTTTTTTTTCTCCTTTCTGTGCATTTTTCGCTTTTTGTGTAGCAGTGGAAATCTTTTTTTGTTCTCTAGTAAATTTCTTTGCAGCTTGTTCATCTATTTTTTGTTTTTTTGATGCTTGTTCAGCTTCATCGTAAGCTATGGCATCTGCCGAAGTCATACTATAATTAGCTGGTCGCTTTATACTCTCACTTTTTTGAACTCTTTTATTTAGAGTTGGTGTCAATTGATCTCGAAGCATATTTAACACTGATTTGTTTATATCTTTGCCCACTTGTTGAACAGCATTATTCAAAGTAGCAAAGCTTTTTAGCAAAAATTCACGATTTGACATTCTTGACGGTGTGTTAGGTGTATTGGTAATATTTCCCATAACTAATGGACTAGATACTGTTGAAGAATCAAATAAATTTTCAATATTGTTGTTTTTGACAGCTTGAAACACAGCACCAATGGAAGTTTTTTTTGAAGAAATTTGGGAACAATTGAGTGGAAATATACCAGTATTTTTGAAACCACTCCATGCATTTTCAGGTTTAAACCCACCATTTTCGATGAGATCCTTAAACATGGCCGGAAAATGTCGATTAGTCAGGCATTGAAAGTGATTTTTAGTTAAGTAACTTTCAACAATTTTCTTCCATGCGCCTTTTACTGTTTTAAAAACGCCAACATCTAGTGGCTGTAAAAAATGGCTGGTATGAGCCGGCAAATGCCAAAAAAAAAATGATTCTTTTAAATAGTTTTCAACAACAATAAACACATCTTTTCTATTCAAGCCGAAGCCTATATCACTTATAAATTGTAATAAATCAACAATAATAGCTTCAGTGATGTTGCTCATCTTTCTTGGCGCTCCTCGATTATTAGATGATCCCTTTGTTCTGTCAAAAAGTATAGATTTTGCCACATTATAACACTTAGCAGCTTGTACATATGACATTTTTTTTTCAGTAATAGCTTGAATAGCTAGCTGGATTCGACTCTCGCTCTTCTTTTTGTTTAAAATTATCCATATTCTTTAATACAGTAATACAATTAACACAAATGCATTAACTTTATGGATGCTAAAAAAAATAGCTGTATCTGGATTAGTGTCAATTATTTTTTCCCTTGTGGCTATTTTATTTTTTATTACTGGTATTGGTGGTAGTATGGCCAAAATTCTAAAATCATTTTTTTTAACCAAACAGTATTGATTTCATAAAATATTAAAAGACTGCATAAAAACATAAAATTAAAAAAAAAAAAAATTAAAATTTCACATTTAGACCCAGGCTTTGGGTTGTGAAACCTAAAACAGTCAATAGGTGCTGCGATAAATATTGAGACAATGGTAGATGCTATAAAACTCAAACTTTCAGTGTTTACTTTTATTATATTAAAGAACTCATGGAAGCAGAATTATAAAGTAAGCTTAAAGCACCAAGGAGATACAGCATATACAACTAACGAGTCAAATTTTACCCCCAAACAGCCCTCTTTAAAAGTCCTTAACTCTGTCAAAATATAATATCAAAAAAATATACTGCTTCAATGAGTTTATCATATATATTATTACAACTGAACAAAATTTTAAAGAACCATAACAAGTAGTTCCCAAGTTATTTATCGCACCGTGCTAAAAAATGTCGTTCAAAGAAAACAGCAATTTAAAAAAAATAACATCGAAAAAAACAAATTAAAATATAAAATAAGCTCTCATTCTATTTTTAAAGATTTCTAATCACTTTTCAATGTATTAACTAACAACAATATTAATAAACTAAGTTTATAATGAGTTTTAACTACTTTTTTAAGTACAATAAAGAAGTTAATACCCTTGTTAAAAGAAACATAAAAACTTCAAACTAAAAAAAATAAATTATGATAATCAAATTTAAATTTTTAAAATAAGTAGTTATATCAATTGAAATATAACAAAACCACTCAAAACTGCCAGAGCTTTAAGCTACTTTTTCACTTTCTTCATATTGATCACTAAAATCTTTTTTTTTGCCCTTACTTGTTTCTGACATTGCTTAACCTCATCAGTCAATTTTTTTTTTAGCAATATTTTCAACTATTTGACAA